AATGTAAGTAAAAAAAGGCTTCTTTCACCTTAATAACATATATGTAAAAATACTTTATAAATGTATATAAATAAATAAATAAATGCTTAGCTTTTCTAGTTAACCTTGTAAAGAATATTTAAAAGCCTGTTTCTTTTACATATTCGAATAATGAAATATATATTTACCTTTTTACTTGTAATTTTATGGACATCCCTAGAGTCTAAATGTTCATATCATATAAAAGTGGAAATATTTTGAAGCAGGTACTTTCATTGGACCTTGTGGTTGGTTAATAAGAACCAAGTTTAAGGCTTTACTTATCAAACAAATTCTTACAATACCTCTAACACATTTCATTATCAATCAACCACTGTTTACAGGAAATATGGATATATTACCAATTTGTCTGTAAATCTTTCAGTTGAATTCCCAGTATATTTTCAACTGAAGTGAAGTTTAGAACTACCTCAGTTGCTGAAGCCTAAGGTAAATGTATAAAATTACTTACACACCTTCAACAGCTTAAGAATTTCCTTATAGTTAGCACTTTATCATTCACAAGTGACTTTTTTTAGTCAAAGTTTATTTAAATCATACATGAGCAGTTGTATTAAAACACAAGGTTTGAGAAAAAAAAGATTATAGTGAAACTGTCTGACAAGAAGTAAATTTTACTGTAAGTCTTGTAGTTGGGTTGCCAATCTATGATTACTTTCACTTTGAAATCAAAATATTTTACAACATACAACTTTTGATATGGTAGTATTAGAGTGAACTTACAGCTTCATTAAATGGTTAATATATTCTACTGTTTTCTTCTTTCAAGTGACAATACAAGGTTTTACAATTCAAATTCTGTACTGTTATTCCACATTTTATGTTACATAACACGGAAAAATTAATGTCTGTGAAAATTTAAATTTACTTGACCATCCCAATTTTACAGGCTCCTATGGGAAACTTGCAGAAATTGATGAAAATCTGTGGCATTATATCAAGTCATCGTTCTCAAAACAAAAAAATCAAAGCAAGTGAATTACAATGAATTTTTTAATCATCATTTTTGATATAATCCATTTTGAATATAGTACTAGTACTGATTTCCTGGATGATAATAATAATAATAGTGAATCTATAAAATAAATATCTTTCTTGGCAGGCAGTCAAATTATTTTTATATTTAAAGTTATGTTCAAAGACTAAAAGTAATATATTTTAATTAATTTGTTTCTATGTATGTTTTAAAGCAAAAAGCCACACTGAACTATCTTGCTTTGTCCATCGTGAGGAATTGAATTCAGATTTTAACATTGTAAGGGGTAACTACTTTAAGACAGCAGAGGTTACTGACTGGGATGAACAATTGGGTGACAGATAATTCCTTACTGAGATACTCTAAAAAAAATATATATGCTTATGTTTTCGATTGTTCTTCAAAAATTTATTTTTTTCCTCAAACATTTGATTTTTTTAAAAATTCAGTTCCATAATGTCACAGAAAAGGTAAACATTTATCCTCATTATGAAATATTTAATAATATTCACACATGGAAAATTCCATTTTATATATCTTAATCATGTTTAATTTTTTCATCATTCGCTACAATTTTAGGTAAAAATTGTAAATATGTAAACAGTCCCAACATGAAAAGTAAACAGTTTTTTTGGTAATTTTAGAGGTTATTCTGGTACAATCTGGTACTGTTCTCACAGATTTAAATCAATTTCAAAAACTAGTTGTTCTTAGGAACAAAAAACAATGGCAATAAAAACAGGTATTAATAGAATTATATATCACAATACACAAGTTTTTATACCCTGAAATTAATAATGCTTGGAGACGGCTTGAGCGGGTAATAAAGAAAAACTTTAATATAAGTTTAACATAACAGCAAATGTACAGCGTTTCAGCAAAGTTCTGTCATCATCTGGTACCGTCTCCAAGCATTATTAGTCTCAAAGTGAGTTCCTTGTCATCGAATTTGAATATCCTGAAATTGTTATATATGCATTAACCTTCTTTTTTTACAAGTATTCTAAAACTATTACCATTTAAAAAAGCATACCTTGATCACAAGTGTTCCACTTGGAGCTCCTTCTTCCACTTGAGGAGCGTACGATTCACAATTCTCAAATACAGGTTTATTGTCATTTACATCAGTTATAAAGACAACTACCAAAGCAGTACTAGTGTGAGTGGAGAGAGCTCCATTCCTACAACAAGATCCATCATCACGAGCAGTGACGTTAAGTTCGTACTTATCTTTGTCAAGCTGAATGGGTCCATTTATCAAACGAATCACACCTAAAATAATTAGAATTAGGTTACAATGTAAATTTTCAGTATAACGACATTAAAAAGCCTATATATTTTATACTTGCCTATCTTTATGACTACTTGTCTCATTAAATATTGTATCAATGTTAAAGAAAATAATAAATTCTTTAATTTTGGAAAGTAAGGTCATTAATATCTGATTAACAGTTCTTTGAACTTTAAGTCAAATATATAATCCTTCTGCAATGATATATTTCTAACATGGATAAAATGAAATGCCAGGTAATAAATCCAATTTTCAACATTTATAACTTTTGTAGTTATTATCACAAAAACCTGGGAAGAAAAAAAACATTTTCATTTAAAAAGTAGTGGAGACACTCCACAAACTTGTTAAGTTGTTGGAGGCTGTACATTTCTCCTATATCAATTAAACTACCTCAACATCAATTGTATAATGACCCCGTTATGTTCTTTCCACAATACCCGGGAGTCATGGCAGGCAGGATAAAAATGTCAGGTGGGCTGTATTTTGTCCATCCCTGTTTTAGAAGCTGTTGTTAAAAAATAACTATGCAAGGTGTGTCCATAATGAATAAAAGAGAAGATACAGATTTACATTTTTAGTTATTTTTGTTGATCTCATTCATAAATTGGGTTTCAAAACACTAACTAGTGGATTGTGGCAGTGAAAATATTTGTGCAAATGTAATAATTTTTGTAGAATATGAATAATGAATGTTACATTCTTAAGAGTTAAATTTTGCAACATTTCCTGACTTCTCCAGTATTCAAAGAATGAGCATCATGGTTTTACAGAAACAAAATACAATTTGAAAAATATTTTCCATTACACATAAGAGTAAGGGTTAAAAAAAAAGAGGGTTTTTGAATTATTTAGTGTTTAAATAGCGAGATGAAGTACCTTTTAACCCTTTACCTGCCCAGTGAGTTATTGTCAGTTTGTGTTATTAACAATTCTATTCTAACAGTAGCAGTATAAAAATACTAAAAAAGAAAAACAAAAAAGTTACAATTTGTAAGCTTATAGTAGCTTTTCCACACAACCATCTATTTAAAATATAAAAATATATTACTTATATCTATCTTCTGAACCCACAAACTTCAAATCAGTGTGCATTCAGAAAAGGTAAGGTGCCGACCTAAAATCTCATACTAACTGATCATGTGTGTTTCAATACTGCTGGATGATGCATTTCCAACAACTTCACAGAGATCACTACACATAACTGAAGGCGAGCAGATTAGCAGCAAACACAAAAGTTAAAATAGATGCCACCAAATAGAAAATGGTGAAACTAACCACTCATTAACAAAACACCACAGAACTGTTTATATAAAATCAGTTTTAACTAAATATGTAAACCAACTCTTCTTTGTGAAATAATTTTTTTTAAATACCTGTTCTCTCTTCAATCTGAAACATTCCAGATACAGTTCCTCCCCCAACAAAACCAAAATGAATATTGTCTCCATCTTTATCACTTGCCACCACAGTAGTAACTAATGTGTTGGGACCAGCATTTTCATCCACGTTGGGAGTGTACACATCTTGGCTGAATTTTGGTGGTTCATCATTTTTGTTTTCTGTGTAAATTCGTACAGTGGCTGTTCCTGTCATTGGTGGATCTCCCATGTCTGTCGCTCGAACAGTCAGAACATAGGTATTGTTGACATCTGCATCTAACCGTTTGTTAGAGTATATGATACCTTTATTATCAATGGTAAAATCATCTCTTTCAATGGAGTACTCAATCTGAGAATTTTTTCCTGTGTCCAAGTCACTTGCAGAAACTGCAAATAAACATTTTTTCTTACTTGACATACAATGACATATACCTAAATATATTGTAACCACTAAGATTTAAAACTATGGAAAGTAATTTAATTTTATCCAAGGTAGGTTTACATTAGTTTTTTTTACACATCTAGGTCAATTGTATGCGTGTATAAAATGGAGAAAAAAAAATCTAGTGGAATATTGATACATAAAGGAAAGGATACATAAATCGAAATTAATTCATGCATATGTTTAATACACTGAAATGCAGATTACATTGTTAATATTAATGTTTAGTAGAACAAAATTTACAAGTTTTTTCAATGTAATCCTTCAGCTGAATATTTCACAGCTACTCTACCAAGTTTTTTTTTACTATGCATATCTTACAACACAAGGTATTTACAAAGTAAGCAGTGAAAGAGTTACAATTTTTTCTATATCAAACATTTATAGCTATCAAACTTCTAACATTATATACCCTGCAGAATGGATGTTCCAATGGAAATATCTTCATCCACATTATGGGCTTGATAGTCAGGGAGTTCAAATCTTGGAGCATTATCATTCACATCGGTGACTTTTATTGTGAGCTGTATCACGTAAATAAAAAATAAAAGATGAATTTCAAAAACAAGTTTTAGTAAATTGAAATAATATTTATGCTATTTGGAGGGGGGGAACATTCGTACAAAAACAAAATGTAAGCTGAGCTACAAAATGAATTTAATTAACAGAACATACATTCCCCAATCAAGAGGTAACAAACTTTGTAACCTATAACATTTAAGAATTTTTCCGATATCTGAAACTTCTTCTCACTTTGAAATGCTGTCAGAGCCAAACATATATAGACAAAAGTAGACAAAATGAGTTACATTACAATTAAAAACATACACAATTCAATAACAGAGTTGTATCTGACTAATTTGTAAACAAATAAAAAATAAACGAATTGCAACAGAAGGTAAAAAAAAAAAGTTAATCTTTTCAATTTTTAAAAACATTAAATGTACAAAGCTAGTAATTGTAAACCTAGATTTTCCATATAAGTGGGGAAAAAAAAACATTGTACAAATTCAAGTTATTTCATCTTTGTAAGTATTTACTCACGAGTTATTAAAATATGGATTGTCAAAAATTCAAATGTACATTTTGCACTTTTCAGGTGTATATTACTAGACCAATTTTGGGCTAATTAAATTCATAGAAATTGTACAAACTGTTCTTTTTTTTTTTTTGTAGATAATTTGTATATATGTACAATTACAGAAAACAACTCTGAAATTAACCTCAACCGAAGTAGAAAATCCACCAGAATCTTCAGTGGCCGTAACTATCAAAGAATAGGATTTGGGCTGACGAAGATCTTCATAGTCCAGATCCTTGGCAAGTTTAACAACTCCAATTGTTGGATCAATATTGAAGGTGCCTGCACCACTACCTTGAGTACGAAGAGTGTATCTAATCTCTCGGTCAGCAAACGATTTTGCTCTCACTTCAATGATACTGAAACAGAAAGTAATAATTAATCTGCTATATAGAATATAAATTAAAACAGCTTTTCAGAAAATAAAAAAAGAAATTACAATATCATAAGTCAGCTACAACTTCTGGGTGACGCTAACAACACTAGACCACCTTTTTTGATATTTGATAAATATGTTAATTTAACTTAAGAAAAAAGTTTAATTTGAACTGCTATGAATGTAAGTACTTTGAAGTACAACACCTCAAAAACTTTTAAGAGTAAGGAGTAGTTTGTTTAGAGCATTAGTATTGTGTCATATTTCTACCCCTTAACTACAGTAAAAAAAAAAAAAGTTTCCAAATTTGAACTTTAAGTTATTTCAAAAATTATACTTCAGAAGCAATAAATGGATTCTCATTAAAAAAAAATGTTTAATCTTAAACAAAATTGAAATTTTGAATAATCAATAAAAAGAAAATTAAGAATTGCATCATGTTCTAGATAATAAAGTAATATTATTACATGACACATATGTAAACATTGTTATTAAATCCACATTTAGAATACACAAAAAACAAGGTGATTATAGGCCAATAAGCAACAGTTAACCATGCAACACAAAACCAAAGCTTATCCAATATACCTTGAGAAACAAATGTATTATTTATGTAATTTGTAACCAACAAAAGATAATTAAGTCAACTCAATAACAAAACTAAAAATTGCAATAAAATGACTGGGAATACAATTAATTAAACGAATTTTGAAAATTGGTCACTCTTATTTTATACCTTAAAGCTTTAAAGAAACAGTTCAAGTATGAAATTTCAACTCCAAAACCAGACACAAAAATATAAGGATAACAGTAAAAAAAAAAAGTAATCGTTGTAGAAGGATAGATAGGTCTTATAAAGATATTTATGTATATCACACAAATCTTATGTTAACCAGTAACAATCATAACCTACATATGAAACAGGGAAGATGGTTAACTAAATCCCTTCTATTGTATACATTCTATTTATCCACATAATCTGTAAAAGTAATTATTATAATATTTACAGTATCATACAACAATTATTTATTATGGTGCTTTATGTTGGGATATTAACATGGGAATTAGCTTTGCAAACTTTCCTAGATTTAATGAGAATATTATAACTTTTGAAACTAACAAATTGAGTGACTGGTTGGTTGATATTCTTCACTGAAGATTGGGATTAATGGAACTGGAAGATTTACCAGTAAATACCATGTTATATGTTCCACCTTGTACAAACTAGTATAACTCTGACACTATTATGACTTTTTAAATTGTCCGTAAATACCATGTTATATGTTCCACCTTGGACAAACTAGTATAACTCTGACACCTTTTATTAACTTTATAAATTGTCCGTAAATACCATTTTATATGTTCCACCTTGTACAAACTAGTATAACTCTGATACCTTTTATGACCTTTATAAATTGTCCGTGAATACCATTTTATATGTTCCACCTTGTACAAACTAGTATAACTCTGACACCTTTTATTAACTTTATAAATTGTCCGTAAATACCATTTTATATGTTCCACCTTGTACAAACTAGTATAACTCTGACACCTTTTATGACCTTTATAAATTGTCCTAACAGAACTGTTAAATTTTAAACCCTAGAATTGTAATAATAATAATAAAAAAAAGACCTCAGTGTTTTGAACATTTCGTTCAACTGTTTATGCACCAAATTGCTTATAACTTATGCTTGACTGTTGATTGCAGAATCCTTCATAACATACAAGTCACACAAAAATGTGACAAAAATTAACATCAATGTTGTAATTAACCTCAGTAATTACCTACGGAGTTCTCATATATCTTAACAAATTATTGTTTTACCAGGTAAAAACAAAATCAATAATTTGAAGGTTAGGATTAGTATAAGGGATTTACTGAAACAAGATTAATGGAGAAAATTTTAGAGTAGATATCTGTCATAAATTTATAAAATTAAATTATTTCACAAACATGCAATTTTGTGCTTAGACAAACTAAACCACAAGTTGGAAACCTATCCTGTAAGCAAATGAAAGTTTCTTTTGTACCCTAAAGATGGCAGCATGTTATTCACTTCAGCTGTATTTTTTTTTAATTCTAACATACAGATTAAAAAGTAAAATTAACATTATTATTGATTATTTCTTGTTGTTCAAGTAACATTTATTAACTACCTGATATTTTTCTCTTTAGAACAGATATAAAAACTACTTTTGAGAAGGATCATATAAAAAAAAATTACCTGCTATACTTTTGAATGTACAATTACTGAATTATTCTTAAATATTTTACTTGAAATTACTAAAACAAAAATCCCAGTTATTAATCTCAATTTTGCTTACTACTAGAAAATGCAGGGTCTTTTTTAAACCTTGTAGATCTAGGTTTACTTCTAATAAAATAATTTTTGAATAAAGCATAGGGAGTAACAATGTAGATTGACATGAGAGAAGCAAAAATATGCAGGAAACACTGAAAAATAAAAAGACTTGATATATTAAAAAACTATACAGAACACATACTTTATAACTACCCAAAACCTCTTTTGGATAAAGATAGTAAATTTTATCAAATTTTCTAGTTTAAGGATAAAGCATTGATTCCTAATGAAAACTTTAAACATTCTCCATACCAAAACACTGTTATATAGTTTTGTAAAAAATTATACTTAACCCAGAAGATTAAAAACTAAATGGATTTAAAACTAAATGAAAGCAAGAACAAGAAACAAATAGTACAAACCATGCATACAATGAGAGTAGATACAAATATGAAGATCACATATGTAGTTTTCAAAGTGACATTAATGTTAAAATATTTATATATACAGCACACATTTTTCAAACCCTGATTATTGATAATGGAAAACTTATTAATTGGGATAGGTATCATTTCTGCATTGGATAAAATTATGGGTCTCTAGCTCGAGGAACAGAATATATTTATCAACCTTGGAACAAACACTAAACAGTTGTATTTGTTTGTCTGTCTTCGGTATTTGCACAGTGTTACACAAAGACTATATGTGCTAGCCATCCCTTATTTTGAAGCGATAAACTAGAGGCAAGTCAGATACTCAAAAGCAACCATTGCCAAAACTTGGGCTATTCAAATCAAACATGGATATATATATACAGATAACCATCATTCTTACAACACACACCACAGCCCTAAAGTACAGAGATTCTCAAATTCACATTCCAGCAAGTTAACCACTGAGCTATGCCCAACCTGAATAACTGCAGAATTGTCATGGTGTTTGGTTTCAATTCCAAAAGTACTACACAACTGTTAGCAAGCATTTAGCTATAAATTAATCCATAACATTTTAACTCAAACTAATTTTTATATCAATGGAAAATCAAATATTAATATTAATGTCCTGCATTTAGCTTGAAGTTTTCTGATAAGGTAATTACCACATACAAAAAAAAAAAAGAATTTTTATTCTTTTTATTTTTTAGCTATAGAAACAGAAATATACTATTAATAATTTTAAATATATATCTCATTACACACACTTTATAAATTTGCTTGATAAATAAAGTTGAAATTCTTGAAAATTTTCTAAATGTTTCATGAGGAAAATACAGATCTTCTGGGGGGGGGAGCTTTAATTTTATACAAGGGTAGTACAGAATAATTAATTCTCATTCAACAATTTCATTTCAGACTGTCATTTTTTTAATTTTCTTTACAAATAATTAATGGTAAACATTTTCCCAGCAATTTTTCAGGATGTTAAATAGCTGTAATTAACGTTTTAAATACTGTAAAAAAAAACTATTCTTAGTAATATGCAAGCAATCTGCTAGTGTCAAAATTTCCTTTTTTGCAAATAAGCTTTTGTATTACCACACTACAGTTTACTATAAATTAGATTTTTTTATGGTGTAACGTAACATGTTGAATTTCAGACATTTAACATTCTAATTAACTGCCATGAATGGAACTGAAACTAACTTAAATACAAAATTCAATTAAAAAAATTACCCTGTTAGACTTGTTTTTCAACAGTTTAGCAGTTTTAATTGCAAATACCAACACATAGTTTGTACCATACAAAGTTTCGCTATAACTCACTCTGAATCTTTCCTCTGGTTTTCTGGAATCGTTGTTTCATACTTTTCCATGTAAAACTGTGGAGCTCTCTTTCCTCCCATTATAGACAGCCTCTCTTCTGGAGTGGACTGATATTGACTTAATCCACCACTTTGATCTTCAGCTCGGACATACAACACATATTCTTTATCTAACATAAACTGTTCTGATCCTCTTGTTCTCACCTCACCAGAACGTTCATCCACTTCAAATCGTCCTCCGGCTGAAAATATTGAGATAAAGAATCATTCAGGGAACACAAAAACAATGCTTCTTTAGATGCTGAGAAATTTGAAGTTGAAACAAAAGAATCTAAAACTCTGATCCTTATACAGAACCAAATAACAGAACAAATCACTGTTTATTCTACAGGGTGTCTGAAAAAAATTATATGACTTATTACAAACTTAAACACAGCAAGACAATATAATAATTACAAACTTAACAGTTTGTAGCAGATGAAGTGCACCTCTATACAATGTTCTATAGTGTGTCATTTGCCAACAATACACCTCTACATATGCTACATCCATATGCTGGCACCACAGTGATCTGTTCATGTATCCTTCCCAGATCAGTCACTTATGTGATATAGATGATATTCTTCATATAACCCAGGAAATGTTGTGCTGGCTAGGGGTTCGACCTTTCTTGTGTAACACACTCACCGACTTTTAAACTGACAGTATTACTTCTTGATAGAATTTTAAACTAGTGGATCTTTTCCATACCCTCTATGATATTATATTGTCTTTGTACCAGAACAATCAATTTCATCTATGCTATCAACAGGACACACAGTCTTCTCTGTCACCTTTTTTGTTAATGACACATTTGGTGACTGCACATGTGTTTTACTTAATTACATTTATTATGGTAAAAACAAACTGCACACACATGTGCCCTTCATCCACACTCTACTGTGACTATTTAGTCTACCTTTTGATTGGACATATGATTTCTGTTACAATCTAAAAAAATTTCAGACTGAAGCACTGCATACTTGTTTTGGTTGTTATTAAATTATTATATATAATAAACAAAAAACAAAATCAAACTTTCACACAAGATGGCAATGAAATTCGTACAAATTTTCAGGAAACAGCATCTATTAAGACAAAAAGAAAGGTCCACAACACAACTGAAAGAATATCCAAGTTCCATAAACTAATGTTCCTCAGACTGACCAGACATTCTGAAAATTATGCATTAATATCTATAGTGCAAGAATGCTATCTATAAACTTTTAACATGAACTCTTTGTTATACAATTAAAATCATTAACAGTAGTTTTGTGGTATGAACCTTACATTTTCAGGCATCAACATCACTGTCACCTTAAAACCAACCTTTTACGAACAAATATGAACAAGTCTTCATTTGCAACTTTGCATGTTTTTGTGTCTAAATCTTTCAAATGTTCAATATGTGAAGTTAAAAACTTACCACTAATCTGAAAACAAACTTTGTGGCTTCATACTTTGTTTCTAAGAAGCTGATTCTCTTGCTTAGGGTTTTTTAAGTAATATTATGTGATGAACTATCTTTATGTTAGGTTTTAAGGATAAGCCAATTGCATGGATAAGAATAAAAGCAGCTTGTAACTTACTTCTGTCTCGAACAAGCAGGTAGTGAATACTGTTGTCAGTGTCTGGGTCTCTAGCCTGAAGCTTAAATACAGGAGTTCCAGGAGGAGCATTTAGCTGCACCACAGCTTGCATGGGTAGTGGACGGTTGATAAAATAGGGAGGTTCGTCATTCACGTCTTTAAGGTGAATGATGATACGTTGTCGTTCATGTTCTAGAAGAAAGAGACAAAGTTTTTAAATAAATTATCAGAATATTAAAAAATATTAACCCTTCTTAAACAAATCCTCATCACAATATAATTAATTATTTATATATTTGTCTTATATCACTGTGTGCATTATCTGCAGTTGTTAAAACAAAGAAAACTATTGAATGTGTATCAATACATTTAGTACTAGTTCACTAATCAATATCTTATGCTGAACTGTTTCATACCTTTTATCTTTGTAAATGCTAAATAGCATTTAACAGAAAATGTAATTTCAGTAGAGTATGGAAATGTAATAAAAGACCTATCTTACATACGTGTAGAGGGGCCAAGAATGGTTGAATTCATTAAATATTTATCAGAATGGGCAGTAAGCACAAATGCTAAATTATCAGCATACCTGAAACATATTAAACTGTGTAATATAAGAGATAGAAAGCTTTCATAAGTTGTGTAAAATGCAATCCAATGGAAAACTTTGATACCAATCATTTATCAAGCATTACCATGCATAACATGGACAAATAGGTTGGAAGATACAGAAGAGTGAAAAGCAAAAAAATGATGTCCCCACCAAAAAGCAAAATATTAAAAATTAAAAGAACCTGTCCTTTGAAAATTATCAATTTCTTTTTCTAATAATTGGTTGACTTATTTATACACTTTAAAACAAACTATACCTTTATATCTATATATTTTTTAAGTATCATTTAATGTCTTACAATATCTAAACAGCTACAGAATACAAGCCTTTTATAAATTCAAAATATGATACCAGCAATCAAATTTAACACCAAATATGAGAATTTCAAACTCCAATTTAACCCACGAAAAAAAAAAATTGTGTGCAAAACTTTAAGTATATTTTTTCTAAGATGTATTCTCCCACTCCACCTCAAATAAACAAAGGAAGAATTAATGGTATTTTGTTCAATACTATCACAACAATGATTTCATTTCATAAACTGAACAAGTTAGTAAATCAGTCTAAGCTACAATCAAGATTAACTTACAAATGTGTGTGTGTGTGTGTGTGTGTGTGTGTGTGTGTGTGTGTGTGTGTGTGTGTGTGTACTAACTAATATATACTACTACTA